GACACTCCACCAAGGAGGATATTCAGGTGACCGGCTAATACATGAAGAGATGCTCACAATCATTGGCCATCAGAGATGTAAATCAAAACAAGAATGAGATACCATCTCACCCCAGCACTGATGGCAAGGTTCAATGAGACAAAAAATAACAAATGCTGGTGGGGATGTGGAGAAATTGGGACTCTCATACACTGCTGGTAGGACTGTGAAATGATACAACCACTGTGGAAAGCAATATGGTGATTCCTTAGAAAGCTAGAATTGCAGATACCACTTGACCCAGCAATCCCATTACTAGGTATATATCCTAGAGAGGTGAGAGCCAGGATAGGAACAGATATATGTACACTCATGTTCATTACAGCACTATTTACAATAGCAAAAAGATGGAAACAACCTGCATGCTCATCAATGGAAGAGTGGATGGCCAAACTATGGTACATACATGTAATGGAATACTATGCAGCACTAAAGAAAAATTTAGTCTGCAAAACACTGCATAATATAGATGAACTTGGAGGACATTATGCCGAGTGAAGTAAGTTAATCACAGAAGGACAGATATAGTATTAGTTCATTGTTGTGGAGGTTTAAGGAAAGGTTTATATATGGAGGGAAACTTTGTTGGTTGCCAGGAGTGGGAGGGGGAGGAGGGAACACTGACCCCCCCGCCAAAATGCATTGACCCATATCACTTTAGTTTTGTCTATTTCACTGAACATAAATTATATTTCAATAAAATGCATTAACAAAAAAAAAGAATATATTTCAATATGGCCCATATGCTTGGTGGACTACATTATCCCATGGTTGTGGAAAGTATGGCAAACTGGCCGATTAGAAAGATAACTTTCTTCTGATTCAGATGGCCATGACATTTTTTACTTGCTGTGGGACCATGGGCAATCAACTGACTTATTTCTACTGACCTTCTGTTTTCTCATCTGGAAAAGTAAAAACCATTTGTTCTTTTAAGAGTTGGGATTTGCAGATTAGTAACATTCTGAAATCCTTAGGAGAAGTTTTGGTTACCTTTTTATGTTCTTCTAATAGAAGGAAAAGACAGATAATATTTAAGAGATGATCCTCAAAAAGCATAAGTTCCCTTTCTTTTCTCCTGGCAAATATTGCATCACAAAGACCATGTTGTTAGGAGAAAGTCATGAAAAATCCAAATCAAAATGTTGTTTGGCAGCTCAAGCATTTATTCAAACTTCTTCAGCTTTTTTCTCAGTTGTCCCTCCAAGTACCTTCAAACACAAACTGTCTGAACATGCACTTGTTTTCACTAAGCAGGTCTTCCTCTGTGTCCCCTGCAGGCTCTGGAGGCTGAAAAGCCAAGTGGAATTCATGTGTTTGCTGTTCTCCTCCATGCTCACCTGGCTGGAAGAGGAATCAAGTTGCGTCATTTTCGGAAAGGGAAGGAGTTGAAATTACTTTCTTATGATGAAGATTTTGACTTCAATTTCCAGGAGTTTCAGTATCTAAAGGAAGAGCGAATGATCTTACCAGTATGAATGTTTTTGTTCTTTTCCAATGAGTGTTTTAAAAGGCATTTATCTGCGGAGATTTAGTACGGTTCCTACTAGTGAAATTAATGGTTCATCATAACCATATTCTGAAAGCCACCCACCATGGCCGTTGCACAACCCAGATGGAATGCGTTTGATCTGTTTTCCAACATTGAAACTCATTTATCTTAATGTTTCCAGGGACAGTTCAACTGTTGATTTTAAAAGTGGACCCAGATTCTAAGCACTAAATGTTAACTGTTTTCTAATTTGACTTTCCAGTTAGGAATTCTTTGGGTTGCAGTTGCAGTAATGGTAAAATCAGATATTTTCTTATACCATCTTAAATAAAATAATTTCTAGAAGTTTCATTTCAGTAGAAATGAATATAAGGATAATTCTTTTATATGACAAATGTATTTGGACTTAGCTAATTACATGGTGCTGTATAATCCAACTTGCAGCAGTACTTAAGGTTATGGTAGAAGAACAGAAAAAAATCTTATGCCTTATAATAATGAATTTTTTTTTTAAGTTTTATGATGATTTATTTTGTCAATTTTTTTAATTGCATAGTAATGCAGGCTCAATTGTCATACAGTTTTCTACCTTTATTTCACTACTAAGAGTATAAAATTCTCTTAGTAGTATTTATGAAATAAGAGTACTATCAATATTTTTTCTACATGATGATGCAGATAGGGGTTTGTACATAAGATGAGCTATCAGGGAGAAGATGTAGCATGATATGGTATTAGATGAGAAAGCAAAAAATCAAAAGAAAGTTAGGAAGAGGGGAAGGTCCCTCTTTTTCTAATGATTATCCTTTAAATCTACAGCTCTGGGTCTATATTACTTTCAGAAATTTTTTGCACACACTAGGAGTGGAAAGATCATCCTTCAAGATGCTTAATGGCAATATTCTCTTTTATTGTGTTGTCTTGGGCCTTTCCAACCAGCTTTATTGTATTATCTCAGACCCTGATTGGTATGCCACAAGTGTAGTGACCCCTCCTTGGGTTTCCAAGGCGGTATCTCTACAGAAGCAGATTGCCCAGTCTTCCTTCCAAGGAGTGGCTGGTAGGTTTTAACCAGCAGCCTCCTGGTTACCAGTCAAATGCCTGAGGCACTACGCCATCAGAGATCCCACAAGTAGGGTACATGTGTATCAAGGTACTGATCTTGGGGCCCTCTGAGAGCTGGGCAGGGAGCACAAGTATTAGGGAAGCTAGTGCCTAGGTTTGGCTGCCTCTGGCCTATGAGCAGCCTCCTCCATTTACCTGAGTGGTGAGCCATAAACATGTTATTATTTTCTATTCATGCTGTAATGTTTAAAAGGTTGGAAGGCACTGGAACAACAAATTACTATTAATTTGCTTTACAATTAATGTTTTAAAGAAATAAAGACATTGCAAAAACCTTCAAAGGAAATAATGCAAATGAAGAGTAAACAGATGGCGTGTATCTATGATGAACATTTATTCAGTGTTTAATCTGTGCTAAAGACTAAACATGCCATATAGCATTTAATATCCTCAGAATAGTGGTGCAGAATAAGTGTTATTTTCATCATTATTTAGAAGAACAAATTGTGCCCAGGTGGTTCAGGCCCTTTCATACAGCTAGCAAGTTGCAGTGTCTAGACTGAACACACAGAACCTTATTTGTTTGTTAGCTGGGTTATTATACTAGAAATCCTAGAATTAAATAGATCAAAGACCTTTTTCTGAATCAAATTACTTGATGCATCCATTCATAAGCAAATAACTGTTGGCTTACAAATGTATTAGATAAATAAAACAGCATAAAACTTCACTCTGAAAGCTTTTACTTTTATGTTTTAGGGAGATAACCTAATTACGGAGTGTCGCTACAACACAAAAGATAGAGCACGGATGACTTGGGTAACTTTATTTTAAAATTATTTTGTTAAAATTCATTTCTGAAGAGGTTAGAATAAACTTTGAGTTTAGAAGAATAACAAAAGTAAAGCAGTGTTTCCATTTGGAAACAAACTATGGACGTCTTGAGCATGAATCATTGTAAAAGTGAAATCAGAGCTATTTTAGCTTTTATCAGATTTGATATTAACTAATGATATGATAGTAATGTGAAGTCTAATTTATTGACTCTTTTATGAAAATTTATTCTTTCTCTTCTAGTCTTCTCCTCAGTAGATATTATTAAGAAAAGACTTGTGGTCATTAAATGAGTGTCTACTTGAGTCTTGAGTTAATCAGACAAATCAAGACTTCAAAAGAAAGAATTTCTATTCCATGACCTTGGGCATGTGACCCAAAAAGACATCTTGTGCCAAAAGACTTAATTGGGATTTCTGCCAAATATTCAAGAAATAAATCATGTATCACCTAGTCTCTTCCAGGGAACAAACAAGAAGGAACACCTCCACCAACTCACTTTATGAATGTGACATAATTTTCATTTTAAAACTTGATAAGGACAATGTGCTAGAAGCCAATAACATGCACCTAGATGGAAATATCTTTAATATAGAAAGATTATATATAAAAATGTAATGTTAGGAACAATTCTGGTTTAGCTAAGGAATGGAAAATTGGTTTAAATTAAAAAAATATATTAATCTCATTCTACAGTAAAAAATTAAAGGAAAAAGACATGATCATTTCAATAGCGGTAGAAAAGGCATTCATAAAATTTAAGACATGCATGAAGAACAACAACAACAAAAAAGATGTTTCATTTAACAAACAGGAATAGAAGGGAATTACCTTAACCAGATAAACATTAGCTATAAAAAAATCTATAGAACATACCAAACTTAATGAAATATTAGAAGCATTTCTTCAAACTCTGGAAGAAGACAAGGATATTTATTAATGCTGCTTCTATTCAACATTGTGGTGGAAAAGAAAAAAACAATGATACATAGGATCGTAAAGGAAGACTCATATACGTTATTCACAGACATAGTGAATTTTCTACTTCAAACCTCTTGCCAGAATTGATAATGTATAGAATCAGTTGCATTTTAATGCCAGGCACCTGTCTGCAGGAAAATGTAACTTAAAATGGTAAGGTATATAAAAAATAAAATCTAGCATAAGATTTGCTTGATCTCTGTGGAAAGAAATTACAAACTTTCATTAAGAGATTTTAACATGCACCTAAAGAAATTAAGAGATAGCATGTTCATGGATAGGAAAGCACAATAAAATAAAGACATTGTTTCCATTTAAATTAATTGATAAATTTGATGATTTTCCAAAGAAAAAATCCCAAGAGATTGATTAGTTGGATTTTTGGTATCCAATCTAAGAAATCATCACCTGCATATGGTTGGTTTCAAAGATTTTCTCCTATCTTTGATTTTCTAAAAATTCTAGTTTTTGCTTTCACATGGAACAAGTTGATTCTAAAATCTGTATGAAAGAGCAGATATGAGAATAGACATTAACCCAAACCTATTGCCATGAGTTGATTCCAACTCATAGTGACCCTATAACCGAACCAAACGCACTGCCATCGAGTCGATTCTGGCTCATCGCGACCCTATACAACGAAGTAGAAATGCCCCATAGGGTTTCCAAGACTATGATCGTTATGGAAGCAGACAGCCACATCTTTCTCTGCAGGAGCTGGGTTGGTAGGTTCAAATTGTTGACCTTTCAGTTAGGAACTGAGCACTTAACAACTGTGCCACCAGGGTTCCTTAAGAATAATGTAGTATGAAAAAGAAAAACAAGATGGGAAATGAGCTACTGCATATTGAAACTTATTAAAACTATGGTAATTAATTTTAGTAGATAATTAATTTACTTATATTCAAAATGTGAAATCTGTTTTTCCTGCATTATTTAGCTACTGACGTTTGTAACATGATGACAAGTTTATAGAAAATTCAGTGAAATCATGCAAAAATTCTATCAAACTGATTGGTATCATGTTAACCAAATATTCCCATGATCATCTGACATGTTCACTGTGGTGAGAATTTTACATCATATAAATGAACCTTGAGATTATTAGATTACTTTAAAAAAGGCAACATTTTTGAGATGGAAATAATTTTGTTAGTATTTAAATGTATCACTAACTTCTTCCCCCCAACTCTTATTATTTTCATTATAAACATTCAAATTATGACTCATAATTCCTTTACTGATACTAATAACTCTCACCAAGTTGTCCTTTTCCTTTACTTGTGGACAGCTGGACAAGTAGGAAAAGTGTACACTATAACCTGTAGCATAACCAACCTATTCTTTCTTTCCCTGAGACAGGCTGGGAAAGAAGAGTGTATAATGAACCATGATGTAGTTGCCTTACTGAACCTAAAATTGAGAGCAACTTATCCCCTCATAGTCTTGGCCAAATGTTGTTGTTTAGTTTACAGGAGGATTTTACATCCTCATACTTGGGTGTTACTTGTCAAGAAGAAGGTGATTGGTGATCTCACTACCTTCTTAAAAGCCAAGTTGTTATTTAGACTATTACTTGTCAGCTTTCAGACATACCATATTTCAATTTTGGAAGGAACAGTGTGACATTACTGGCCTGGATGCTGTAAGTGTCACAGTTGGTGGAGTGTACACTTTTCTATATAAAATATCTCTAATTTCAGGGGGGACTAAGCACCAGGAATGAAATGTGTCTCTCCTACCTTCTTTATTACCCAAGAATTAATCTTACTCGATGTGCAAGTATCCCAGACATTATGGAACAACTGCAATTCATTGGTGTTAAGGAGATCTACAGGCCGGTCACGTAAGTAGTAAATGGATCTTCTGTGTGGGTCATATACTTCAGAGAAGGATGGGCTTTATTTTTATATCAGATTCAGTACTATGCTATGGGGTTCTTTTATGTGCGGTTCCATTCAATTATTTTGAACTGGGGGTATGAGATAAGCTTCTTGGTTGCTGTGTTGTGGGTCTCCAAGACTATGCCAAGTTTGGTGACCTGCTAGGAGGACCTAAGGACTCAGGATATAGTTGTGTTCATGGCTAATATTTATTAAGGTGAAAGGGTACAAAGCAAAATCAACCAAAGGAAT